GCGCTCAAGTGATCATCTACGACAGGTAAACTTTAGCGCTGTTGCTTATTACTCATTTGCACAATGTTTTATTTTTTCTCCTCGTTTACCATTTATATTCGATTCATACGACAAAATAATCTTCAAGCATTTTAATGTGTTATTGCGCCCTTCTGTAGAACTCTGATTTGTTTAGCTGACCCATAACTATATTTGAGTAAAGGATGATGCAGTACTTCAGTGAATGATTGATTTTCGTTTTCTTTTGAAGCATCATTAGTTAGAAACGAGATATTATTCGTACTGCTGAAAGTTTTCAGCTGCGTTTAGAACCACATGTACTCGATTATTGTTGAACTTTGACCTGTGTCTGAAACATCAATTTTTAAGTTAAGAATGATGCACTACGCCGTATAATTTTATTTGGAGATTATTTAAACAATTATTTTTTCGTGAATATTTAGAATGGAAGAAGGAGGATTTTTCCAACTGAAATGGCAGGCGGGAAAGGACTAAGTAGCAGATTTTGGACAACTTGTACAGACTTAGACTAAGTGGGTACCTGCCTGTGTCCCTCAAAATAAAACTAATTTTTATCATCTATGGTTATAGTTGACCTAGGCGGTCGATTTGATCAACGTCACTATTTATGATGATATCACCGCGAAATTATTAACCTTATTATTGTTATTCAAAATTCTTTCAATGAAGGGGTCAGTGCTCCCCGAAATAATTTACCTGAAAATCACAGCGGTTTTCCAATCGTTTCGCCTTACATCATACATCCTGGTCGAAGTCATCTGTTGTCAATGTAAAGTAGGCAACAGATTGGCAGGGCACAGTCGTCTGAATTGGCAGAGCACATTTCGGCTTTCTGTTAAATTCGTTTGACTTCTTTTAGTAGCCCAATCTGAGTAGTTTGAGATGACGCTTACTGTCGCCTCCACGGCAGCACATTCATACTACTGCCAGAACGTGACTCGTTCATAGGCTAATAGGCTATGTATTTGTTTTGCCAGAGACTTCCTTGCGAAGATTACTGATGATTTCTCACACTTGTTTTGAAATGCAGGAAGTGTAACGTGAAGCGAAGGGTACAAAACTCCGCTCAGCCTATGTCAGAACAGTATTTCAGGCATTCACTGGCACCTTCCCTGATTCGATCCTAAAAGTTTGTCTAAATTTCAGCTTAAAGATGCATAGTAATTTGAATTCAGCTCACTAGTAGTTTATATTTGATTTAACTTCTTGTCTCCGCGGTCTATATTGTTTATTTGTGCTACTAGTTTACAGTGAAACAAAGCGATGAAGCTGTCGAGTAAGTCGACCACTTTAAGTATCTTAGCTCACTGAACTCCAACGATGGCACCGTCCAATCACAAGAGAATCCGATGCAACTTTTAGAAACCTGTCTAATATTTTGGCTGAGAAAGGAGTAGCGCTTCCCTCGAAAATCCGCCTCTACCTTTCCTCTCTCAGGTCGCTTTTGTTGTTTGCATGAAGGCAGTTGTTCTAACGAAGGTCCAAAACGACAGTTGTACTGCATGCAGCTGCGTTGGCTCCGATGCACAGTGAGGACTAAATAGCCGGAGCTTGTAAGAAATGATTGTCCTCTTCTAGTAGCAGGTGACCTGAGTGGACATTGTGATTACTACAGACCATGACCTTCTGATGTGGGAGCCGAAATATTTCAGACGTGTATCTTGGAGAAACAAGATAGAACCAGGTTTGCTTTATTGGAAGATTTCCTTCTACGACGTGCTAGCCGATGCTTCGTAAAAAAAGAGTTGCAAGGATACAGACACGGTGAACATCGCAAACAAGGGACATTCTGCTTAGTCAAACTGCTGTAGGTGATGATCACACAAATAAGAAACGATTTATATGCATTCTCACGGAACTGCCGTAGAGTTGGTAACTGATATTGGTTATCGCAATGTACGTAACTTTTAAGATTGTTTCTATTTTGAAATCATACTCTTTCGTTATCGCTGCCACCTTCGGTATCATCGTGCTCCTTGATAATATTCCGTTTCGTTTATTTTTATGATTGTTTTAGGCATATTCTGTTGATACGCCCTAGTCGATTCATTTCTAACAGCCGAGGTTATACCGAACATCAGTGGTTTTCGACATGGAATCGTCCAGGCGAGACAGAAGAGTTTTTCTTACCGGACTTCATCGAGCAAGTAACTGCGGTTTTAACTGTCAATCTGTTCTGCATCCGTACTCTTTGTTCTGACGTTCTGAAAAGTCGCAAGTTTTGTCATCTCCAAAAGGGGGTTTTCCAGACAAATGCATGTTAAAAAAGATATGAAAGCTGTAGTCTATCTTTTTTAGCCTAGAGTTCATATGGTTTGAAACTTGAGCTTAATTTTCAGGATATTGATATTAGGGGCAGGTTTAAGACGATGTACCAGTTTCATTTTTCATTCCTTTTTTCGCAGATGAGCGAAATATCACTTACCCGACCGCTTACTGGACTCCTACCTTGCCAGATTCGCTTTTGTTCAGATGCCAGAAAAAAATGGTTCAAGAACGTGTTCGACCGAGATTTCCTTTTGGTGGTCGATGGTTCTTTGCTTGATTGACACACATTATCCTGTTTGACTTCATTGTCAACAGTCTAGATAAAGGACATGCAATAGCCTGGTAGGTACTCATGGGCTTGAGCTTTGCCTGCAACATAAGTTTACTCAACTGTCTGTGAAAAAGTCTATCTACGCTACAGACAGTGCCCTTCCTGTTGCTATTTTGAATCATTGTAAAGGTTTTCCGCAGCGTTTCCAAGCAGGAGGTGTCAAGGTATAGTTGCGGCAAGGTCTATCTGTTCATATTTCACACCAGCAATTGCAGAAGCCGATAAGAAGGTGCCTGTGCCAAGTTTGATAACACAATTGTTTTTATCCATGCTGGAGTACGAAGTTGCAGCACTTTTGAGTTATGACATCCGCCTTGTAGGTAAACATGTTGAAACTACTACTTTTAAGTAAAAGCTAAAGACAGAGTATTCAACACAAACGGAAAATTTAAGTTTCGGTGAATTCGTATGGAGTGTTTTGTTTTTCTTTAAGCTATATCTACAATTAGATGACTATGCAATATGTTGTCTAATGTTTCTTTCTACGAATCGATACTTATTTATGTACCTGGGAAGGACGAAAGGTGAGCAACCCGACCGTTTCTTGAATTTGGTCGGTTCTGAGTTCTGAGAATGCTGCTACCGACTGAGCAACGTTGGTTCGATAAAACTATATCATGTCGATGAGTTGAGTGAAGAGGGTATGTTGCTTGTCGACTGACATTGGTCGAAAATGTCGTCAGCTTCATAATGCTGAAATGTTAAATTTGTTCCTCAGACTGTTATTAATTTGATTTGTTTAGATGTAAATAGTTTAACAACGTTCGTTTTTGTTTTCATTGAGATGGTGTAATATAAAGCATTGTGACTGATGTGATAGCACTAAAGTATTGTTTCACGCTTTGTCCTTTCTAGCACTCGGTTCCTCTTTTCGGAGACGCTGTTTTGTGTTTCAAAGACGTCAGCGTTGCGTTTCAAACCGGTAGCGAATTTCTGCATCCTGAAGGGTATTACTGTTCTCACGTATTGCATTGTTTGTTTTAACTGTTCAATCGCTCCAGTTCTTACCTCTGGTCAGACTCTAGCTCTGCCGATATATTTTGCGTTTCCGCCGCCGTGCCACATTATCTAAGTGGATACGAGCATTTGACAAACACCGTTGTTCACGGATATCCCGGCAGGGTGAGCAAAATCTGGCGAACTCACTGTCGTACAAAGTTTCAAGTGCGTTTCAGTATGGCGGAGTTCTGCTGTTCTCAAATCAGCTGGGCTGCGATGGCGACCAGGATTATTTCGATGGCGGGTCGATAATTGTTGTCAACAATAACGTCGTTTCGTCCACTGACCGGTTTTCGATGGCTGACTTGGTAGGAAAGTGATACCATAAACGGCTATGCCGTTAGATTACTATTTTCTTATGCTTGTTTCTAATAAAGGAAATCTGCTTCGCGGAAGTCGA